TGCTCGAGGACCCCTCCATGTGCCCTCAGAAGTTCTGTTGCTGTTTTGTTGGCCTGGGCAGCCCTGAACAGCGGGTGTGGATGGTTGCGAAGTCTTTCGGGTTACAGGTCAAGCAGGTATTGGACGAGTCCTGGATGCAGCCAGGAGTCGCAGAGGCTTGGACTTGATGATCGCGAGACTTATGCCAGTGCCGTCTCAGCCCCAGGAAAGGGCTTTGTTGATGAGGGAGGTTGGGTGCCAACTCAAAGTGTGACCAGTTCAGGTACTCTACTAGCCTGCTTGTTCAATGGCAGCTTGGGGTCTTGTCAGATTGGGGTTCCATCTGATATGTTGGCAGATGGTATTTCAACAGCAGCGATCTGCTTTCCAATCTTCAGCAGGAGGATTCTCATGTTCTCAGGGGCCTCAGTGTTTGTTGAGACATTTCTTGTGTCTACTTCCTGGAGCTTGGTAGGGAATGGGGCAATTGACATGGAACAGCTGTAGGAGGATGAGGTCACTAATTTTTCCCTGCTACGCATGAGTGAGGTTTATAGTAGTTTTCATTTTCTTTTTCATTATCCCTATACAATCCCTTGTATTGTATATATATAAACCCATTACGACACAGTAGTTTCCGTTTTTGTTTCCCTGTGCCGGCCGAGATTGCCTGCTGCGATCGGTGGGAGCTCGTCCTATCGGCCTGGCTCTCGAAGCCAAACATTTTGAGAAACCCCAAAATGGAAACTAGTGCATTATAACAGGGTGTATATACATAATATAGTGGGTTGTATGTAATGGGGTGTTTTATGATATAGGGGATTGTATAGGGATAATGGAAGAGAAAATGCAAACTACTATAAACCTAAACCCTACTAAGCCTCAACGGGAGCTGGCATTTGTAGAAATTGTTGTATGTACATACATATCCAATTAGGGGAGACTCAAGGTAGCGCCCTATAATTTCTGGGGCTCCTGTATTTCATAGGAAGGGAGTTAAAGGGTAAGTTATTACTCGAGAATAGAGGACAAGCAGCACATAAACATATATACATAAACATATATGTATATATACATATACATATATATGTATATCGTTATCATCACTATTACCAGCTTTGTACTTGTAACTTATGTTGCATGTATCCTGACTCAAATAGGTAGCTATACGGATATATGACTTTGCATGACGCATGTTCACATGTGGGTTTTAGTATCAATTACGTTGTTCATGTATACTGTAGTATACATAGCTGTACATCTACAGTGTGTATATGTGTATCAATGCACATACACATTCATATACATACACATATTGTATTTATACATATATATATATTTACGTGCCACACCCACCGAAGAGGGCTTTTTACAATTTTAGGTAAACAAGTGTTTTGGTTTAACCATCCACATATCTGCGGCCTCTTGGTTGAGTCATGGGATCCTGGAATCCTGGATTCATGGTTTGGATCTGCGTCTAAACCATATAGATTGAACATTTAGTTTCACTAAACATATTACGGAAATCCTGGATTGAACATATTCATATGGGAAGCCTGGAGTCCTGGACTGCTGATTGTGGATGTGGTCCTGGTCCAAGATATATTAATTGTTGAATTTGATGAAGAGGAATACGAAAATCATCGAAGCCTGGATTCCTGATTTGGGATCTGATCCTGGTCCATGTATATCTATGTACAGATATTTCGTTTTAAATCTCATTAAAGTTCATACGAACATCGTGGAATCCTAGATTCCTGGTTTTGGAATGGATTCTGGTTTATGTAGATCCTGTATTGAATTTTTTGACTCAATACGAAAATCCTAGAATCCTGGATTCCTGGTTTTGGATTTGATTCCGGTCTATATAAATCCCGTATTAAATTCAATTGAAATGATCACGAAAATCCTGCAATCATGGATGCTTGGTTTTGGATTGGATGCTGGTCTATAAATCCCTTATTAAGATTCTTTGGATTTAATTCGGAAATCCTGGAATCCCGGGGTCCTGACCAAGCACCAAAATCCAAAACACGAGGACAACCAAGAAAACGACACCAACTTTCTGAGTGACTATGGTGGCTCCCAGACAAATGTTTTTTTTGTTTTGCTAAGGATAAGTTGGGTTTTCTGAGAAAAACACATTTTCCAAGGAAAAAGATGGTTTTCTTGAACAAGCAGCGGTTTCCAAGGAAAAAGTTGGTTTTTGGGAATCCATGAGCTTGAACAACCAACTTTTCCAAGGACACACTGGTTTTTTCACGCCCATGGACTCCACAAACCAACGAACAAGTTGTACTTTGCAAGCTCATGGACTCCCAAAACCAACTTTGTCCTCAGAAAGCATTGGATTTGGGGCTTGAAAAAAACAATAGCGTTTTTCTTTTAGTCAGAAAACCAAACTTTTCCGTAGGAGCACCAAACAAACACTTTTTGGGAGCCACCATAGTTACCAATTTTTTTTGTTTGTATCTGGTTTTCCTTGGGTTTTGGTGCTTAGTCAAGAATCCATAAGGAAATCTGACAGGGGGTTTATGTAAACCAGAGTCCAGTCGAACATCAGGAATCCCAGTTTTCAGGATTTCCGTGCTAAATTTATCAATTTTAATAAGGAACTTATATGGACCAGAATCCGGTCCCGAACACCAGAAGTGCAGGAGTTCATAGTTGCCAAACTTTTGTTTCAATTCGCACTATTGACTAAGTAAAAGGGACTAATTCTGTACCAAATTTGATAAAATCCGATTCGAGACTGGGGCGTATCCAAAATCTGATCATGCGAAAAATGTGTTTTCTTTATCGGTCATTATAGTGCTTTCAGGGGGTCGGTGGATCATGGGGCGGTGTGTCCATATATGTACACACATAGACGCGTGTACGTACATACATACATACATACATACATACAGAGACAGACAGACAGACGTACATGCATACGTACGTACGTACGTACATACATACATTCATACCTACATACATACATACATACATACATGCATACGTACATACATACATGCATGCATGCATACATACATACATAGGTATTGGAGAGATAGAGTTCTGATTCTTTATGCCGTTTATGCGGTGTATCACACACAGCCTGAAAGCCTAGGCATGGTGAGATGCAGTGGCTGTTTATGTAGTATGCAAAGATGTACATATGTATATGTATATGTATATGTATATATACATACATATGTAGATTGTTTGGCCCAAGGCTCTGGTGGCCATGCGTGCTGCCATGGTTCCGCCAGCTGCTCGAACGCTCACCACCCAGTTTGGTTGCTTGGCAGGAAGGACATGACTGCTCTGATGCAATGGCGAGGTACTCGGACGTCCTCCGGACTTTCACTGACACAACCTTGGCTTCGGCAGCAGTTGGGACCTCGGCAGCTCAACTGTCGTTGAAGTGCCGGGCTTGATCCGCGCCCAATGATCCCCTAGCGGCCCTAGCGTGCAGGAGCAGTGGGATGCCGACAAGCAACAGTTAAGTTGCATTGAAATTCACAAGAATTCCAGCCGAAGCTGACTGTCATGAAGGTCATGAATACCAGTTCACATGTAGAGCTTCACCTCTCATCACCGCGAGGTAGAGCTTCTCGAGGCGCCCCTGAAGAAGGAGCTTCCGGATTGACCTTCAGAATTGAAGGCCAAACCAGAAGCTGAGTGCGTTGGCACAATCGATGCTAGATGTGAGTCTCAACCATGCGAGCAAGCCGAGACAAAGGCTGAAACATTGATCCACAAAGGTTTTCCACTGCTGCCAGCGGCTTGATTGTGGCTTGCACATGCGCTGCACGGCGCTGAAGATCTGTCCTTTGCCTCAGCCGCTGTGGCCACCTTGATGGCTGTATTTCTTTCCCATAGCCGCTGTGCTCCCGTCGTTGGCTTGGGTCGCAACATGCCCAAACCGCGCCGGATTGATACAGTGTGCGCTTAGATGTGAGCATCCCAAAGAATTACAGGGAAGCTATACACATTCGCAGAAAAAGGCGTGTGAAACTGCACCTTCTGCAAGCAGCTGCGCTTACATCACGGGTTCTGGATGGTTGAGTGTATCTTCATGCTCCAAAATGGCCAGTGCTTGCCAGAACCAGACTCTTGTTCAGTCCTGGTGGACTCGACAAATCATGAGCATTTCATTGAAGCGCTAGATTTGGGTCGTCACACTATCCGTACTCCAGACAGTGCTTTCATCCACGGACGACAAGTTTTTATGTTTAGGCTACAAGGTTGGGCAGGCGCTTCTTCAACTGCCAGCTGACATGCAGAGGACCTCAGGCTTTTGCTGGCTTGAACATGTAGACGTCTTGAGGCGAGCCTTGTGTGGACTGGAAGAGAGGATTCATAGGCCCGTCGAAGTTAATGGTAGCCGAGCAAGGTTTAAGTAGCGTGGAAGTTCGAAGCTCACAAGCACAGCGCTGGCTCCTTCGATGCACTCACCTCGCCGGTCTCGAGCTGAGCCATGGGCTCAAGAAGCTTGTGCCATGCTGTGAGCCGGCCTCCAGCAGGACTCGAGTAGCCTTCAGCGAATCACGGAGCTTCAAGTTGTACAAAAGAGAGAGGAACGCTTTCAGTGCGTAGCAAGTGTTTCGGGCACAGAGCCGTCACGGCGTGCTGAAGACGGTCATGCTCCAAATCCACAAGTGCCAATGCTTGGAGGACCATGGTGGTCGGCGAGGTGGCATCGGGGCATGTGACACGGTCCTGCCAGCGAGTTGACCCCGCTCCCTTTGCTGCACTGATGCCAAATCTTACGTTTGCTCTTCAGCAGCTTCCTCACCCGGTTGGACCGGGGGACATCGAGCTTTTGGTGGAACATCGTGGAAAGTCAGATGTGGACAGTAAGCAAGGGTTGGTTGGGCGTAAATGCAAAGCCCGAAGATGCAGGAAGGGGCATGGCTTGTCTTGGGCATAAACTACCCTTATGTCTCAGCTCAGTTCATCAGTGGTTTGCTCTCAGTTCTTTGGCTTGACCTATTTCATCGTATGCTGACTATTATGCATGCTATATGCCACACATGGGCAGCTCTTGGCCCGTCACCGCACGTGGCAGGTGGCTGGCAGACAAGAGTCATACCTCCCGAAGCAGCCACACAGCCGGGCACTGCAGCCAGGATTGCAGTTTGTCATTGTATTTGGGCACTGCTTTCAGGCCTTGCGTCATCCCGCTACCGGAGAGGCCCGGGCGGACAACATGGTGGCGGTGACTCTTGGATCAACTTGCAAAAGCCAAGCCTTTAAGCTCTCACAGCAATGCAGATGTCTTTATGCTCAGCTCTGGCCAGGCTGCTCCAGTTGGCGATCGCTACAACAAGGAGCCAATTCCGGACGAGGCAGGCCAGTGGGGACTCTGACGCTGCCTCATGCCGTGCAGAAGGAGGGAAACTCCGCCGCGCATGCGAGCTGCTATCTCTTTCAAGTTTTCACGATGTCATGAGCGCCGGAAGGAGTGGTGGCTGCGAGGAAACAACCGATCCAAGGCCTTGACCACTGGCATGTCAGACCGTGCTCTGCTACATGTACTCGCAATGATGTTTTTGATCTTTGGGCCAGCTTCTGACCACCGCCCCCTTCACCTTCTATGATGGCAACCCGCTGGCGAAGAAGAACTTCCAGGTAGGCCACATGGAAACAGATCAACTATATGATGCTGCGGACGGTGAGGCGCAGTGTGTGGGACCAGACCACTCGCGACGAGTGTCGCGGGCCCAGTCTTTATATATATATATATATATGTCAAGTGCAGCCTCCAAAACCCTTCCGTAGCCGAGGGCGCAGCAGCTGGGCCGGATCGGCCACAGCTTTTCAGAGGCCAACCTGCAGGTCCTGAAGGAGGAGGGCCGTGCTCACAAGTGGCTTACGTGCCTAAGCATCTTGTAGGAGATGAACACAAGTCTGCTGATGCACAGGACCCACAGGCGCGGCGCTACATGTCCCAAAAGTACGCGCAGCTGATGCAACGCCCACAAGCGGTTACCAGCCAGTCAGAGTCGGAGATCCGACCGCAGAAAAGTCAAAGGAGTACAGAGGATAGAAACCGAAAGACGCGGCTTGGCCAATTGGCGTCAACTGGCCTGAAGCTTCCCAAAGCTGAGCCAGGACCTCAGGAGCCGGCTAAGCGGGTTCTACAGTATTATGAGAAAGGCATCAGCTGCTACACTGAGGCTGAGGCAAACAATGGACGGCAAAAATGTCATAATGCTGCAGCTGTCTGAGATGTTCCAATCTGACCCTGCCTTTTCTCGATCGTGCCCTGTGTGCACTGGCCCTGTTGCTTTAGGCCGAATCCACGCCTGCCTCGCGATAATGCCGGGGCCGCAGCAGCTTGGGAGTACAAAGCTTTCTATGCAGATGTAGGTCAATATGGAGATTCACAATCCTATGCCGCCGATTCTTGGGCGTCCCAAGCCGATGCCCCAGCGACTTACAATAACAAAAGGTCCTTGTCTGGATGAAGCAATGAGGTTCCAGTACACCTTTGACTACAATGGTGAGCGCCTGGCAATGTAGGGATGCGGCCATGCATGAGCCTCATGAAACGTTTCACTGGCCTTGCTGAGATGAAATCACCCTGTCAAGCAGGAAGTCTCCAAAGCCATGCAAGACACCGCCATCAGCAACCCAGAGTCGTTAAAACGCTTGTCTTGCTTGGATGGGGGTGTGATGGCTGTAGATTCTGCCGTGCTTCTTTGCTTCTGGGCTGGCCAACGCAACGTCTTTTGTCCAAGCCACCCAACGGCTGAACCCCACAACCCAACCCAGAATTTTTTGGCCCGCGGCCGGCTCTGAGCTCAGTCACAGGGCGTCTGGATATGTTGTGGCCATCCTTACGCTTGCAACGGTGGGTTTGGAGTCAATGAAAGCTGGCTTCAGAGTGCCGAAGCGTTATAGTAGCGGAGCGTGGCTTTGTTTCATTGCCAGCTGGTGTGGATGACTCCGTTCTCCAAGAAGACCTATGTTTGTCATGATGTCACAACCTAAGAATGGCAACATGGTTTCCAGTCACTTGGCAGTTCCGGGTCCTACGCAGTTCCGCACAACGTCGCAACAAGCAAAGCTGGCACTTAGGGATTGTTTTTTCTCAACCGCCCGTGAGCCCAGGTACACCAATGTCCATCTCGCAACTCCACACTTCAGAAGCTTTCCTCACTATTCACGTTCACTGCTAAGGTCAATCCCTCAACATCATCTATAAACTCGCTAGCTCAGTAAAGCCAGACTATGTGCTGGTCACCTAAGGTGGTAGCGATTGACCCTTCCTTAACAGAGCATGTCTGTCAGAGACTGCGCTCGCCCAAGACTTTTGACTAAGAAATCGAAGACTGTTGAAGTCTGTCTGGAGGGGTTGTATTATGGAAAGGGAAGCTGCAGAGTTTAAGTACATCTTGACTGAGGCTGCATTTTCGCTGTTGGCACGAGCGACAATGGCATGGGTCTCTGTCAACGCAGTGTTCGTGCTTGAGTTTGTTTTTCTGCTACCTTGAGACGCAGGGTGTCCGGCTTTCCTGGGTTTCCTCCCGTTTGGGGATGAATTTCTCGTTGAATTCTAGGGGCTCAACAACAGGCGATTTCTGTATTAGAGTTAATAGGATAGGTCTGCAAGAAGAGTTTAAAGGCGCAGAAGAGGAGTTTAAAGGCGACTTGGGGGCGCGCCCAAAATGTTGCGGGGACGATCAATTTGATTAACATGGGGGCGTGCCCGAAATGTTGCGGGGACGGTTTAGATAGAAGAGGAGTTTAAAGGAAGGCGTTCGGGGTTTAATTTGATCAAAATCAACGATTTTCGGAGCCGCCGGAAGACTACTTTAAGGGCAAGCTTTCTCAAGCTCCCACCACAGTGGCCAGTGGTGTCGGCACAGCTGGCACCTCCTATTTGTGAACAGCTAGTGCAGCAATCCTAGATCCAAACTTCCACCAGGATTGACATCCTTGCGTAGTTCGCGTTGGTCCTTCTTCTTCAAACATGACGAAACATGCCTCCGAGGCCTTCGCCCTGCGCGCTGCACGTGGGCTTGCTGCCCGCAGCTCGAAAGGCTGTTGTTTCTTGTTGAATGAGTGATTGTACTTACAAGTACTGACAGTGCATGTGGCAGGCAGCATATTGCCGCAAAACCAGCAAGACATTTGCCGACTGTGAAGGTGCGGTACGCAGCTTCGCCGTGGGAGCAAGCTCGGCTTGTTTACCTTTGGGGCCAGACTTGACAGCGGGCGTTTTGATGGCGAGTTGCGCTGTGCAGATATGGATCGACTGCATCACGTGCGCAGGTCTTCAACCGAACCAAACCACACATGAACATAGGAACCATTGGCCATGTTGATCACGGAGCCTTGGTCAGCACCAAAGAGATCGGACAACCACATCTTCAAACTTGATCGCTGAGACTTCCTGCTGTGACGTTCTTGCGTTTTGGAATGCACAGCATATATCAACGCAGTGAAAGTGCTTAGGAAAGACCACATTGACAGCGGCCATTACAAAGGCGCTTGCTTCGTGCTGTGCTTTTGACGCTTGAGTGACAAGGTTGCTACTGTGTTCGCTGGCACTGGTATGCATTTGCAAATTTTGCATGCAGGTTATGGCAGATGAAGGACGAGCTGAGTTTAAGGATTATGATAAAATTGACAAGGCACGCAAAGCGCGACACGCCTACTGTTCTGCAATGTTTACATATTCCGCTTGATGCAGCCACACAGAGTGCATCAAAGAAGCGGAACTCAGCGTGTGCCAGGCTCCGGAAGAGATCAAGCGTCGGCATCTTGAGAGTGCTTCTGACTTGTTGAAGACAGGGCCAGTGGCCACTGGACTTAGGTGGTATCACCATCAACCAGGCTCATGTAGAGTATGAGACTGAGAAGAGGCACTACGGCCATGTGGATTGTTGAGACCTCGGCAGCGAAACAAAGCTAAGAGAGTCACCTCAGCATGGCAAGACATCAATGCCCAGGTCCTGGTCACGCTGACTATGTCAAAAACATGATCACTGGTGCAACCCAGCTGCATTACAGGAACAATCACTACATACCACTTCAGTTGGTATTGGACAGGAGTATGCCAGGGCCATGCTACGCCGAGGCTGCACAGATGGATGGAGCAATCCTGGTGGTTTCAGGCTCGCTGTTCGTGGCTGTGGACCTGAGGACAGCATCAGCAGTGCAGGATACGATGGCCCTATGCCACAGACCCGAGAGCACATCCTGCTCTCCAAGCAAGTTGGAGTGCAGAAGCCCCGGATTGGCTGTGGCAGGAAGTGCTTGAGATTGTGCCGGACCTGAACCGATGTTGTTGGATTTTGACTTTTCGGCTCAATTCTTGTCAGTTTTTTTTCTGTAGGAGTTTAGGATCTATTGTTTTTGCTACGCGTTGCCGGAAAAGTCAGGGTCCGGCATATGTCCCTTCCCTTCGCATCCCTTGCAGTACACTACTGCAAGTGTGGAGTGGAGAAGGCAGGGCCTTAGTCAGCTGGCATCCTTAACCCCCTTCCACCTTCTGCGTGCTGAGGTCTGGAGCACAGACCTTCGCTGGGAGGGTAAAGATGGCCCTGAGGAGGTGGCCGCGATTCGCCGCGCTATGGCTGAAGCCATAGGCCGCTCGCAGAGAATTTTTCTTAAAGTGGCAGATAGAAGATCACCCAGGCCTGTGTTAGTGTAATTGCCGCTGAAGATGCATTCAGCAGTTGCGAATTATGAGTAGCAAGCTACTCAGTAGCAAGCAAGGGTGAATCAACTCAGTGGAAACAGAGGCGTGGCGCCTGGCAGCCTAACTCTCCTCTGCCTACAGCGAAAGCCAGGCAGCCCGCAGAGCACCCTGAAACCCGTGTCCGGGCAAAGTACCCCGGCATGGATATGGATTTGTACAAAGTCGTCACTATTTTGTTGTTGGATAGTCATCGGGTAGTCTCGACCAGATGGCCCTTTGTAATGATTTGGCATTCGAGGTCTGGTTGCATTTCTGGAACAGAACTGCCGGGAAGATCATGGCATTTTCCAGCTGCGTGCTGCGTTTGACAGTGCCACAAACGATGACTATGTACTCGTGCGAGTAGCTTGTCCCGGAACGGCGACATCAAAAGCTGCGGCGAATAGCAGTGAGAGCCAGCCTCCACCCATTGTCATCGAACAGTTTGAGCTGGCAGCTAGCAGCACTGTCATGGCGCTGAAGAGCTTGGTCTCTAAGCGAACAAAGTTTCTGGCAGACCAGACAGTGCTGTTGTTGGGCTGCAAGCGATTACATGAAGAGCTTCCCATGGGCCGCGTAGCAGCGGCAGCTGAAGCCTCGGCAACGCCCCTGCAGCTGCACCTTGCCGTGAAAGGAGCATTAGCCTTTCTAAGGCGAGAAGGCCAAGGGCACCGGGAGCACTCTGGCCCACATGGCGTGCAAGGGACGAACACGCTTTCCCTGATGCTCCCAGCAAGCGCCCAGGGCAGCCGTGAGCGGCCAATGCTCTTCAACGCGGGATCTACACTTAGCGATTTGCGATGGTCTGTGCAGAGCATTTCAGGCCTCTCGCCAGCTCGGATGAAACTGTTTTTGGATGGTGACAAAGACTTGTCGTTGGCATTGGAGTCCAGCACACTTGAGGAGCTTGGCTTTGAGGATGGTTGTTCTGTGCATGTACAGCTGCCTCCAGCTGAAGCTGTTACTGATATCGATATGCCATTGGACATCCCATCCATGGGATCGGCAAGCCTGCTTTATGAGACAGCAGCTGACAAGCTTGGGCTCTCAGACTCAAGCAAGCTCGCTCTTTTCGCGGGAAATGAGATGGTGGACCGCAGCACTGATTTATCTCAGGCACTTATTGCAGACGGAGTGATTCTCTGCGCTTACATAAACTGGCCCTTGCATCTCACTGTGTCCGTCTTGGACTCGAGTCTGGAGGCCAGTTTTCCAGGTGCATCGCCCTTGAGAAAAATTCTGGGGGCAGGGGCACCCATTGGGTTTGTAGAGTGACATGTAGTTTTTGTTGCTTTGGCCAGGTTCTCTTGAAGTGCGGAGCTGCGATTCCATTGCAGACGTACGCCGGAAGCTGGTCGCCAGCGCCACCGAGCGCGGCGAGGCGAACGCTTTGCTGGAGGGAAGCTTGGCCTTCGCGATGGAATGCTCAACTTGGCAGCGCCAAGGGGCCAACTGCCATGCGTTGGCATCACTGGAGGCTCTCTTGGGCGGATTTACCCCTCTGTCGGAGACAGCGCGGTTGGCCAGGCTTGGCTTTTGAAATCAGGCAACCCAAGATCTTAGGCGATGAGATCTTCAAGGCTCTAAGGCCCATCTATCAATGAGTTAGTCATGTGCAAAGCTCGACCTCCACCAATGAGCTGTCTTGATCGGCAGGCTCGGAATTGCAGATGGCGGCTGCCATCTCATCTTCGTGCCCCGGAAGGTAATGTCAGTGGAGGTTCAGGTTTGGTGCGGAGATGATGAGAAAGGTCCCAGGCAACTGAGAGTGCCGAGCACAACGCGACTTGCAGAGCTTTCCGCAGTCTTAATCAAAAGCCTACGCCAAAGCAGCCTCTCCGACTTCACCCCGAGCAAGTTTGCCCACTGCTCTTGGACGCTGTGCTCGGATCCAAAGGGCCCTAGCGATGGCTTGCAGCGTTCTGGCTCACAGTCCTCCTTTGGCGGAGCGCCTCGGCTAAGCTTCAGAATGAGAGGCTTGCAGGACTGGTCTGACAACAGAGCAGATCACCACCATGGCAACGCATGGAAAAACGAGATGTGAGATTTCAAGAACCACAGGAACAACTTCAAGAACACGTCTAAGTTCAACAGAAACGGATACCCCTGATTACTCCTGCAATGGGACAGGTGGCGGCCATGCTCTCGAAGGTGAAGCGCAAGTCCTTTGGAGGCAGCCCTGGCTCTCCTCCGGAGAAGAGGCGCCGCCTCAGCACAGCAAAGGAGCTTGTGGTATGAAGTGCAAGAGCGGCGGCAACAGCAGTTGCGACTACACACCCCTGAAGTTGCAGGACATGGATGAATCCCAATTTCTTGGCGACCTTCAAGCTCAGCATTCAACATCATCCAAGACCATGTGCGAGCCCTGATCTTAGACTCCTTATCACCTCGCAATTGTTAGCATTGACTGAAGCATGTGCCTTGATTTGTGCAAGGCAGTTCCTGTGTCCGATCTCCAAAGAAATCATGCAAGATCCGGTGATCGTTACTGGAAGTGGCAACACCTATGATCGCAAATGGATAGAGAGACACTTCCAGCACTACTACCGGGATCCGCTGAACAACATTGAGCTTCGAAGACCCGCGGACAGACACCCATCTGATGGCAATTTGTAAGCAAAGCCTTTTGCGCTTGCGGTTTTGCGATAGCTTATGGACGTGAAGCGGTTGTGTGAGTATTGCTCGCTGCCTCAAGGAAAGCTGGTTCCCAACAACCAGCTGCGAAGTCAGATTCGAAGCTCAGCTGTGCCAAGTTCGTGCTTGAATGCTCTGTGGTTGATTGTGATTCACAAGTTGAAGAGTAAGCATAGAGCAATCCACCTGCTACCGCAAGTGAACTACTACTTTTCGCTGGCTCCTGCTCCATCCGTCTCCGTCCTCCTCCACACTCTATACTCTGTGGGGGCTTCAGGGCTTTTGCCACAGTACATATCACTATGCAATGATCCCCCATCTTCCATCTCATGATACATTGGCTTGCCCATTATTTGGGTAATATTCACCTATAGCCCCCGTTACCCTCCTATACCCTTATCTGCCCCCTTATATACTATACTCCTTACATATCTCTCAGATACCCTATTCAAGGTGAAGCAGAAATCTCGCAGATCCACTTGCGACTTACAGCCCATCTTAGCGAGGCCTAGCTGCAAACAAACAAAAGAGACATACCCTAAAAAGGTGCATGTAGGGTTTGGGGTTTTTGGATATGGGTTTTGAGGGGTAGAGAAAAGAGAATGGACACTATGGTGTTATTCTGGGTTTTGGATTTGGGGAAAAAGGAAATGCAAACCACTGTGTCATTCAGGGTTTGGGGTTTAGGATGGCAAGCGTGGCAGGCAGTGACTCTGGATGCTCCCCCCCATGGGAATCGAGCATTGTTTGGGGAGTGCAATTTAAAATAATGCTGACCAGAATACAATCAAGAAACGGACATAGCATGGACCCCGCAAAAGCGATAGCCCAAAACAGTATCCTCAAAACCAACACCAATAGGAAAGGTATTCTGACGACTGTTTGGTGTGAGGTGTAGAGCTTACTGTACGCCGTGAGTGCTATATCAGGACTCCTATCTCCTGTGCTATGACAGGTACTGAAACTAGCATACGTGGGGCTCTCCCCTCTCACACTAACATGGCGATTTGTTGGTGTAAAGTTGACTTTGCAGAGATGCTTGAGGATGCAGCAGCTACTTTTTTCTTTTGCTTGCGCTTCGTCCTGATATTTCTCGAAGAGTAGTCTCTGCTGAGGTTCTCCCTTGCATAACTCTGAGTTCAATGTTGTCGAGCGCTTGAGTTTACGAGTTCACCGCATATTTGCTCGCCTTCTTCAGCTTCTTTTGTTTGACCTCATGGTTCTTTGACTGAAGCTGCTTGTACAACGCATGATCACAAAAGGTAAGCAAGTGCCTCAAAGCATACTGTTGCTACAAATTATGTTCCCCAAATTGAAGTCCTGAATGCAGCTCTCGGACCTCTAAGCACTGAGAACTACTAGTAGGTAGCCATGCTGATGTTACTCCTGCTGTTTACAGCCAGGATGATAGCAGCAGTGATCATCGCCAGCCTGAGGAACAGCGGAGTTCTTCAAGCGATGGGCACATGGCAGAATATCTTCGCTACTGTGCTTCTCTTCTGAGCCGAGGCAATTAGGCATGTTCTGTTTGGCAAATGCAACACATCCGGAACCAGGCTTGGGATGTCGCAGACCAGGGCAGGCATCGCCTTCTCCAGAAGCCTTGTATTCGCTCAACAGTCAACACTTGTCTGCCATTCCAAGCCACGGTTGGGTAACGTAGAAGGTGTCAAATGATTTAGCAGGGTGTGGCAGGGTGGCCGGCGCCAAAGGTGTACCGGACGTGAGGACTGGCATTGCTTGCAAGTCCTGACATTATCTCTATGCCACCGGGCCAATGCAGCTTGCATGAATTGCGTGGGGTGGAACATGGAAACTCGTGTTGCAGCACCTGCCGAAGTAGGAATTGGCGGTCGTGACCAGCTGATCAGCCATGACTGCTCACAGAAAGATCAGCCTCGAGAAAAAGATCTTTTGACAAGATCGTTCAGCCAGTGTTTGATCACCTTCTAGACCTACCCTTGAATTTCTGGCTTCCTTTGTGCGTTCCCCCCCAAAAGGCCCAGCATTGTGGTCTTCTTGAACAAGATGGCACGACCCTGCATGTTTGATGCCGTTTGCATGGCGCCGACATGTCTTGCAACCGTCTGCAACGTGGTTATGAAGCTCATGTCAGCAGAAACAATTGTAGTGAGCCGTCTGTGAAAGCGTGGTTCAGTGCGTTGATCCACCAACGCATGCTCGGCCTCCATGACAGGACATGGTTGAAGACATGGAGCTTGTCGATCTGGTTGAGCTTGAGGCAGAGAGTGCATACCGAATTACTTTTTAGCATTGCGGCATGCACCACGGCAAGCCTGACTTCTAAAACAATGTGACTCTTCGTGTAGTTGTGTCTTGGCTCGAGTGAAGAAGCCCAATCCAGCACTGCCGCGGATGTTGAGCAACTTTTGTGTGGCTTGGCCGCATGTCGGAGATCTGCAGCGAGCTCTAATGAGAGACATGACCTGGCATCCAGTTTCTTTTACTCATGAGCCAGGTCGGGACAGTTTCAGAAACATATACTGGGGAAGGATGAGGTGATCACTCGGCACAGCAATCCACTGCCATGTTACAGAGCCAGTATATCCCCAATGCTGCAACCATGCGTTTGTCGTAATTGTCTTCACACGTTCACCAATGCAGCTGGCAGATATATCGACGGAATTCGGGACACATGCACTGACAGTCATGAGGTGCAAGTATCAACCAACCTCCCAAAATAGGCATCGCCTCAACATCTGATAGATTGCTGCACCCTCTTGCTCCAATGCCTCCAGCTTGACGAGCTATCGGCTTGCGGGAGCCAAACCTGATTTATTCCTGGCGTCTGGCTTATGCTTAAAGCGCTTTTCCAGAGTCGACTCTCAGGCCAGGCCTCGGCGGGGTCGGCGGAAGCCTGTGCGCGCACGGCGGAAGGAGCTCCGTACACCCAAGAACATGCCTCCTCTCCCTGCTAGGCCTGAGTAAGTGACACCTCTTCAGGTTCTCTGGTCAGGTTTAGGAACGTGGTATGGATTTCTCCACCAATCAATCTGAATCTGCGGCCAGCGTATCAGACCTTTCAGCGTTTGTGTGAGACACGAGCAGGACAGCGGATATTGTGCAAAATGCATCTTGTCAGCATGTCAGGGCAGTTCAGAGCAGTTGCAAGCACAAACTTGGTGTGCTTTGTCGCGGGATGCGGCTACGAGACTAGCGTCATCATTGAAATCGCCAGCATATTTGCCTCGCCATTGGTTACAGCAGATGGGCGCGCCATGAGCGCAGGATGAAGCAGCTACTTTGGAAATGACAAATCCAAAGCTCATGCCAGAGCTTACCAATAGGCAGAGCTAATGCAATGCATTATTCTACATGTAGCACAACCGCCCAGCCATTAGGAACATCCAACCCAGCAGTAGTTCTAGTTGTCGTGATGCACTGGCTGCCACTTGTTCATTGCTCTACAAGTTGTGACATGCACCAGGCGATTCAGATAGCTGCGAGCTGCGGCAAGCATCGAAGACACCGATCCTTGTGTGCCTGGATACAGATGGGCGTGTCATGCTGTAAGCCAATTGCAAGCACATTGCGGACGCAACTGAGGCAGGCACCTTACTTGGCGGTTAAGGACACAGCTATCCCGAGGCAGGCACTTTGTTTACATGTCTATTCTTGAGCCGCCTGATGGATTCTGTGCGCTTATGATATACCACTTCTTCTCGCTGCAGCTATTGCTATTGTTGGAGTATTACTGTCGGGTCCTGATTAGTGTAGGCCCCCCCCAAACACCCAAACAAAAATGGGTCCCTATTTAATGGGGGGGGTACCCCCCAGACATTCCATGGTTTTTCGGTTTTAATGAAAATTCAATAGGATGGATCAGGATCGGCTCGGATCCTAGGTTTGAATTGAATTCAATAAGATGGATCAGGCTCGGCTCGGATCCTAGGTTTAAATTAAATTCAATAGGATGGATCAGGATCGGGTTCAGTAATAGATCAGAAGGGTTTCGGAAGGCATTCAGAGAGCTTGGAGGAGTTCAGAGGATTTCAGTTTTCCAAAATATTTCAGAAGGCTTCTCGGAGAATTCTAGAAGGGATCCGGCAATTTCAGATCTTGAAGGCTTGGCTTTTGGCGGTCCTGGATCTGACGGATAATTAAGGGAGCCCAAATCTTTCGCACTATTGAGGATCCGGCCAGCTGCTGGACTACCGCTTGGGAAAAATGATTGCTAGGCCTCCTCAAATAAGCGGTCTCATAAGAAATTGATAGTTTTGAACCTGGCTTTGAAGCTTGAAATCCGTAGTTTTGAGGTCCTCAAAATCCGGAAGTTTGAGGTTCTGGAAGCTCTGGACAAGGGGTTCTAGTCTAAGTAACAAAGGGCAGCTTGGATTACGACCCTAAACTAAATACTTACTGCCTGCCATGCTTTTCAAAGCAAAATTAGGCTTGTTTATGCTAATCACTTATTCTCAGAACTTTTTTTTGGCCGCGCAACTTCGCACAATTAAGGGACCCCAAATGAACCTAGGGGATGCTGCATAATTTCGGCGCAGCTTCGCACAACTAGCGGACCCCACACTCATCGGGATCTCACCGTTAGCATCTTCATGATCATTGGAAATCTAACCGCAAGTATATCTGTGTTTCTGGCGATAACTACCCTTCTCGATGTGCTGAGAGTTGAAGAATTCAGAGTGCGCGCGAGGCACGGGGACCGGATCTTCCTCAGAGATCGCAGCACCTCCCGGCGCCGCATAGCATGACGCCATATAACAGCCCACTTTCTGCAAAACTCATTTGTGAGCAGCAGGTATTTGTCCATCGTTCAGCATGGCAGTTCAGTTGAGTGCGTCATGCTGGGCCCTTACTGGATTCTTCTGATGGAAGAGGGGCAGTTTGGATTCCGACAGGATGTGTGCCTAAGGACGAAGAAGCCGGCGTCGCTGTTCGTGGTCCACGAAGAGATTGCAGAGCACCAGGCAAATTTCACGCTGTACATGTTGCAAGGTGCAGGCAGGATCTCGAGATATGCTGTTTGCCAGGATGCGCGAATCGGTTTCGCACATGAAGGGTTGCCAGCGTTTGGGTGTTTCCTTGGCTACAACAGCATTCTGGAAAGCTGGTATGCCTCCCTGGGAGTGGGCCGCTTGTCATGGTTTCAGAGCTGGGGGCGTACGTGTCAGGGCCTTGCCGGTAGCAGAACAGATGCCAGCACGAGTGTTCCCTTGAAGTCAGGCTGTCTTGAAGTCTTGAATGCTCGCTGCTCACTCCAAGGTCGCCAAGGTCCAGAATTCAAGTCAAGTCAACCCTCAAAAAACGAGGGTCCGCGAGAAAGGGCAAAGCCCCAGACCCCAATGGAGTTGCCCAAGCTCCTCAGACCGGTCTAGGCTCCCACAGCTCAAAGCTTGCTTTTCGGTTATTAAAACCTCAGCTTCTTAAAAGATTTTTCCATGAATTAGCAGCGATCTTAGTTTCCCTAATTCGCCGCAAATGCACCCTGAGGCCCACTTCAAAGAGACATACAACTTGTTGAGGCCTACTTGTGCACCCATTCCGTCCTAAGGCCGAAGCTCCTCAGAAGGACCTCTAGGCTGGACAAAGCAGTGTGGGAAGAGTTGGGGCTTGGAACCTCTGGGTCCAGCGGTTAAATAGAGACTGCATGCTAGTTTGAAGGGGCTTCAATTCAACAGCAGCTCAATAGTTACTGCTACTTCCTCCAGGCTGCGAACATCGTCCCCTTCCATGCGAAGCCGAGCATTTCCAAGCCCACAGTGAGTTCAAGTGGCATCCGGATGCTACATTGAAGACACTTGGCTGCTGATTCGACCTTGGTTCATGAATTTCGGGGTACTTGTCTTTCTGTGCTATGGCCGAGGCACTTGTCAAGTGGGCTTTGGCTGCACGCGGATCCGTCGAAGACGGGAGCCGTGGCACTCGATGCCGACAGGAGGAGCCAGTGGGAGGACCGAGCTTTTCATAAGGAAAAGGCTAGCATTCTGCATGAATGGCGGACTGCGCCATGCCTGTACATTCGAACCCTTGCGGGTTTTCTGCAGGCCGTGCCCATTGCCTGAGCAGCTGTACAGATTGGAATTCATTTCCATCCTGGTTTTGCATCCGCCCGGGAGGAAGGAGGACAGGGATCTAGGGTCAACAGGGTTCCACGGCCAAAGTTGGCAACACTATCAATCAAGGATGTTCCAAAGACTGCAGTGCAGGACGAGATTTTGTGGATGCCCGCTTGCCTGGTGGCGCTGGTGAGGCCTCGATGCAGTTGGCGGCTTACGCACTAACTCACAATAATGGCTTTGCTTGATTGGATTCAGTTTGCACCGGCCAAGGCTTCGAAATGTGTTGCTGCAGACAGACTTCAGCCATGAAACATTTTGCAGCCTGCCAAGACGGCAGTCTTCAGACGACAGAGATGGAATTGCTGTACTGGGTGGAATGTGCTCAGCGAGCACTTGTGCTGCCGACAGTATCATATGGGGCCTTCTCACCATTGCTTCAGAGCCTTTGGATGCCACCCAGATCTGTGCTGAGATCGAACTGTGTACAGAGAGTGAATCAGCATTCTGTGTGGCTCTCACTACACGGCAGAGGCCGGTGGTGAGTAATGTTGAGTAATGCATGAGGCCCCACGCCACTTTCAGACACATGCGGTCTTGTACAAAGATATGTGCATATCACAAATTCTCTTGCGCTGATAGACTTGGTCCCTGCATCCTGCTGCTCTGAAGGCAGGTGGTGCAGGCCTGTGAATTTTTAAGCATGCCAGGCTGCACCCAGATTGCAGGTGGAATGCGCGCCAAAAAAGAATCGTGCTCTGCCTCCTGTGAGTATGCTTCGTCCTGACAGCCTGAGATTTGGCATTGCTACTGCTACAGGTGCGAGAAATGCTGGACCTTTACTCATTCCCAGGCGAGGAGACGTCCCGCACTCGGCATCCAAAGCGTAACTGACCAAACAGCAAACTTGGGATCTGAAGGCCGTTCATCCGGGGTTCGGCGCTGAAAGCGCTAAACGGCGACTCTGGCGAATATGGCGTGCCGGCCATCAAGCAGCCCGTTGCTCACAGCCCTTCTCTCTGCGATTTTCTTTGTGAGCGGCGAAAGCTTAGGCTCATGGACGCTGTTGATGCGTTCTTCCCTGACCCTGAAAGGTGCGAATGGGGCGATTAGAAACAACTTGAAGTTTCTGAACTTTTTGTTCAACTCTGTTCCGAAGCTAGCAACCCAAGATCAGCTAGTAACGTGGCAGGGATGTGGACAAGCCCTTCCTCATGGGCGTGGAGAGCGCAGCTTGATTCAATTTCTGTTTAAGCTTTCTTCCGAGTCCCTTCTGAGTCCATGCGAGTTGGATTCGACGCTGACCTGAGTTGAGGTGATGACCATCACGGGCAAAGGCACAGTGGCTACGGGAAAGATCGAGCGCGGAATTGCAAAGACGGGCGACTCCATCGAAATCGTCGGCGTCAAGGATGGACTTTGAATTGGTCTGCCTCACAACAGCTGCCACGGTCTTTAGCATGGACGCTTTGCAGGATAAGACCCAGAAGGCCACTATCTCTGGCATTGAAATGTTCCACAAGACGCTGGACGAAGGCCAGTCTGGTGACCAGCCTGGCCCCAAGATTGTTGGCACATGCTACTGCTGCATACTACTGCTAAGCAGCTGCTACTGCTACAGCTTGCTTCAGCCCAGTGCCTTCTCAGACAATGTGATCAACCTTTCTCTTGATGTCGCGTACCAAACATGTTAGACACGCTTTGAGGTGCGGTATCATGTTGAAGGGCGTCAAAAGGAGTGAGATCCAGAGAGGGCAGGCTGGTCTGCTTTCGTCGAATCGCTCTAAGCATCATGGCAAGCAAGAAATGAGACTTTCGGTCGTTTTCTCTTGCGCTAGGTTCTTTGCGCCGCTGGCACTGTCAAGACGTCGTGGCCTTGTCTCACCAACCTAGTATCTGAGTAGATGCTCGGTCTCTGCCAGGTTTTCCAAATTTGATGCTGACATTTACGTTCCCAGCTCAAGGGCTGCCACCGAGCACATCTTCACACAATCGTCTTTCGCATTCGGTGCTGGATCCTCAGGTCCTGAAGGAAGATGAAGGTGGACGGAAGAAGCCTTTCTTCTCCAACTACCGACCGCAGGCAGCCATGCTCTCTCAACCCGCTGGCGGCACAGTTTCCCCCCTGGGTTTTCAGGCTTTCATCAGAACGGGCATGGTGACGGTTGAGGTGCAGCTGCCTGAAACTGTGGGCATGGCCTGTCTTGCCTCGCTGCAAACAGCCTTTTTGGGACACGCCAATGATGGTGACGGCAATGCCAGGTCGAGATGGCCATGCCGGGTGACTCCCTCTCCATCAGCTTCTTGCCGGATTACTTTTAGAAGAAGACCAGTTGCTGTGAAGTCCATGATGATGCATGCTTCCAGAGTGAAGGCTTGGCAGCAGAAAAGCCGATGGCGCTAGAAGAAGGGCGGCAAGCTTAGTGCAACCCCAGTGTCATCGCGGATTGTGTGCTGATCCATGTGGCAACCAGCCCCCAGCCCAATGACTCATTTTGTAAGCTGTGGCTGGCCGAGGCTGCGCTTCGCACTTCGGGAAGGCGGTCTCACAGTAGGCTGGGATCTCCTTTCCTGCGGTGCATAGATTTCTGATTCTGATGTGCCGCCCGGGGCTGTTCTGAGCCTGAAGGCTCTGGGATCATCACCAAATGCTACTGAGAGCAGGCGGTGTGAGGCCGGATTTGTGGCATTGTGCAAGCTCCTACGCCAGCTGTGTTGCCTCCATGGGGCAGGTGTCTGCAGAGCTGGCTGAGACTGGTGCAAAGGGTGAAACCGCCCTGCAGCAGCAGCAACAACACATGTCAATCGAATCTGACCATCCTGGTGTCATGATACTCTAACTTCTGGCTTGGCAAAAGCAATGTAAAAGCAGAGCAGCCGTGCAGACATGAAACCCATGCTCGTTTTGGCATCTTGGGTTCGGCAGAGACTCCAATCCCTGCCGAACATGTCGAAGATGGTTTAGAAGGATATCCCTTCACTGCTTGGATATTGGAATCTCTGGAATGGGAGAGGAGTTGTGGAAGAGGGGGCAGCGCCTGCAAGCGAAGCCTGACTGGTCCTCAAGTGGGAGTGAGCGATCGGATCCAGCGCAATCAGCTGCTGTGAACGCTGTTTCAACTCAGAACACGCTATGTTTCAATCCAACATCGGCAAGTGCATCAGCTTGATACTTGTCGTTGAAACCATCATCATTCTCACTTCTTGTTTCTACTCCCTACAGCCGCTGAGAACCTCCCTCTCACTTGAGGCGTACCTAGGATGCCGCAGCTCCCAGCTCTTGCGCCGGCGCGGCGAGTCGCGGGAAGCGGCGCAGAGCCGAGGGGAGCTGCAGCTTGCTCCCTGAAAAAAGGGCCCGGGCCGTCCTTAAAAAAAGCAGCTTCTGTCAGACAACCCCGGTGCCATCGTTTTGGGGTCTACTAGCAGATTGCCCTACGACAAGCTGTTTGAGAGCCTCCATTGATCGTTCAAATTCCCACTTGACTGCAATTTGAATCAAGGGGTGGGGTCCTGCTTCAATTGAGTCCTCACATTCTGTGTGTTCCTGTCGATGTGTGTGGTTCTCCGTTGGGATCACTGCTCTTCTTGTCACAGTAGCTGCTCTCTTCTGTGTTGCAGGAGTGTGGCAAATGCCTGGCTGATGCCGTCCCACTCGCATTCAGTGCCATGATACCATGTCTGTATATGCAGATCGACAAGAGCTGCGTAAGACAATACCCGGGCCTGTGCGTGAGAAGGAGGGATAGTTCCCTTAAGCATTTTCCGGCAGAGTGCTTGATGCTTCAGCAACCTTTGTAATTACAAATGTGTACCGTCTGGGTGCTTGCTGAGTAGCAGTCTCTACTTCCGAATATTGTGGCCAAGCAAAGCAGACAGCACATGCCTGCCGTACCCGCGCTCTTTGCTGCTTCGAGGAGACTGTTCAGATGTGCCTCAGCCCGCTGCAATCATTGCGCGTTAGAAAGAAGGGAACTCCTAGCCTTGGTGACTTAGAAGATTCTAGGAATGCTCCATGACTCTGCCAAGCGGCGTGAGCACCAGGACACTATCATGACTATCATGGGTGTCGTTTGCGCTGAATGCTTAGTGCTCTGCGCAGCTTCAAGTTCTTCAAGCTTGCAACAAGCATGATCTGCCCAAAAAGCGCATGTGGAGGGCATTCTCAACATGACAAAATGTGAGGGTATGCTTTTTGACAGAGTTCTTCAGTAGTTGCATGTGGCCGAGCGATGCTGGCCACCAGCACGGCAGAGGTACCTCCTCCGAATGCTGGTGTCCCAAAGAGAAACCTCGTCCACGAGAGTTGGCTGCGGAAGTGCAGCAAGCATCTGCGCATCTGGAGATCTCGTTGGGTTTCTCTATGGTCTGGAGAAGAGCATGAGGTGATTTGCTCGCCACATGCGTACAACTATGCTGACGTGAGCGAGCGCTTCGAAGTCGCGGCGATTGGTAAGATATGGGAAGCTCCAGAAGTCATGTACGGCCGTCCACACTGCTTTGTCATAGAGTATCGCGGTGCAGGCGGTGTTCGTCTGGTGGCCATGCAGGCCTTGGATGAGGTCAGCAAGCGGACTTGGATTTCAAGCCTGCTTCGATGTGCAGCCATGCTGACCTCAGCGACACCAGTCCAAGCCCCTCTACTCCTGGGATCTGCCATGCGAAGTGTGGTCAGCGAGAGCAAGCCGGCCGAAGCAGCTGCAAGCGACCCGGCTGCGGCCTCAGGGCAGCCCCAGGCGCAGGTGCAGCAGGTGCAGCAGGTGCAGGTGCAGCAGGTACAGCCCAGCCAAACATCGAGTTCATCGGGCGCATCCGCGTCTTCACAAGACTCGGGCAAAGGAGGCAGCAAGGGCCCAGCGGCTCCAAGCAAAGGCAAAGGAGCCAAGGGTGCAAAAGGCAAAGGAAAAGGCGTGCCCCCTCTGCCTGTTGCAAAGGGCAAGGGCAAGGCTCAGCCAAAGGCTTCTGCCAATGCACTGCCCTTTGGCAAACGCTTGAACATGAGGGACTCAGGTGCCCTTCCTCAAACAGCCAGAGGCGAACAGCCCAGCATTTTTCAGGGGCTTTTTGCGAAAAGAGCTGGCCATGCACAGGAGGATATCGATACCCTCTGCTCCTTGTTCTCGGAGAGCAAAGCATCTGCGAGCACAGCCCAAGCTGCACCCGTTCAGGGGAATGTTTCCAAGGCAGCTCCACGGAAAATCCTGCCGGATGAGAAGGCGAGGAACTGCGCCATCGTTCTGCGCGGCCTACCTCTGCGGGGACCTGACCTGGTGGAAGCTGTGAGGTTGCTGGAGCCTGGTCCGCTAGAACAAGATCATCTTGAACGACTGGCTGTTATTATGCCTGAGCCGAAGGTGATGTCGGAGATCCAGAGTGCCGGCGAGGACGGTCTTGCGCCCTTGAGGGACGTGGAGCGGGCCATGGTGCCTTTTAGCCAGCTGGGGCGCTTGCAAGAAAGGCTCAAAGCCCTCATACTAGCTGCCAACCTGCAGGGGCAGGAACTAAGACTCATGGGGCAAATGCAAGTCGTCAAGGCAGCATGCAAACAGATTGGTGAGTCCAGCAGCTTGAAGCACGTCCTGGCCACCGTTCTGGTGATGTACAATTATGTGAACTTTGGACAAGTGGGACGATCTCATGCCCATGCGTTTGACATTGCGAACCTGCTGCATCTCAACGAGTTTCGAGCAGACCGTGGAGCACCTGCTCCGTTTCCCAAGTTCTCAGCGCTTCACTACGTGGCGATGAGGCTTCTTGCTGATGAGTCTGTGCAGTCCATTCGCACTCTGAAGACTGAGCTGGGACGTGTTTCGGAAGCCGCCGGCGTGTGTCTCCAGCATGTTGCGACTTCCATTGAGCAGTTGAACAAAGACATTGAGAAACTGCGGGAAGAGCAGCGGGCCAATGCGAGCGTTTATGGTGGTGCTGTTGAGGACACATGGGAGGGTTTATGAAGTCCTGAGCTCACAATTTGACCTTCTTTGCTGTCAGCCTCAGGAGCCAGCTCCTCCTTCTCCAGAGCATGCGCCGCCAGCCACCCCGCCAGTTGCGCGCCGCTTGACAGAGCTGAGCGAGGTCTCGGAATGTGAAGAAATCACGCCGAGTGCTGAACTCAGATTCCTCATGCCGACTATGCAGGATTTGACTGTGCCCCTCAGCCCCCCTCAGCCTTCTAAGGAGTTGATTTGGTTCCACAGCAGACTCCTCGTTGTGGTGCCCGCAGCTTCACTTGCAAAAAGTTGCAAAGAGCTTTACGTTTCAATGCAGCATATGCTCAGGAGCGGTGACCTGGCTTCGTCAGGCCATGGGCCAGATGGGACCGGCAGAGCTTGGGGACCTCGCACGAGGAGTCATTTGGGGTCTTTGCCAGGTCCTGAAGAGAAAGGCAAGGCCTTGTTTCCAGCCGTAGCCCTGTGAGGAGCACCTCAGCAATGCCCGAGTTCTGCCTGGCTGATGCTTAACGACGGAACCCGCATGCGCAAAGTGTATGTGACCTTGTCTGAGCTGGGCGTCTTGTGCTACGCTGAGAGTATGGCAAGCCCCGAGTCGGTGCGTTGTCTCCCAGTGATTGGGGCAAAAGTCTGCCATGCACAGGCTCCAAACAGTTTCCAAATCAGCTGCTTGGAGAAACCTGGCTGCGGGAGTGAGATGGTCTACTCCTTCCAAGCTCCGGATCTACAGGCATCTCTAATGTGGCAGGAAGCCCTGAGGGCTGCTTCCGTCCAGAAGGGAGCCGGGTGGCTGGAAGTACGGAGCGCCTTCAGCTGGAAGTGCCGCTGGGTGGTCGTCCTGACAGTACACCCAAGCCATTCGAGCCGGAGTGCCTCCAGGTTTTCGGCTGGGAGCCGCTCCTCTCTGTGCGTTGGCTCTCGGTGGCTTCTCTGGTCCTGCAGTCCCGAAGACATGTTGGTCGGAGAGATTTGTGGCAGTGTTGAGCTTGGAAGCACAGAGGCTCACACCTTCGTTGCCCTGAGTTGCTGCAAAAGCAGAAGAAACACCATTCTTGCCGTTCTTGTGTTTTTGGCCCTAGCCTGCAGGTCTTCAATCGAAACTGCCGTGCCCACAGCTTCAGGGTTGGTGGCTCTGGCTGCACTTTGATTTATGCGATATGCGATATGATGCAACGACATCCTCAGGCTGAGGAGCAAAGCAAATGCACTCGTGCGCTTCCTGTCAGGTTACCTGCAGCACAGTCGCGGCGGAGAGGCTCTGTCGAATCTCTCACTGCGAGCGCGCAGCGAAGCAGAAGTTGACAGCAGCTTGGCAAACGACTGGTTGAAGATCAGAACTGCATCATCACTGTTTTTGCCATAAGTCTTGGGTCGTGGAATGGATATGTGGGGCGGGTGGTGAAGTGCAGCAACAAGGCAATGAGCCGCAGAATCAGGCCCCAAGCTGCAACCCCGCAAACGGAAAAGAACCGCAATCACAAAGAAGGTCTTGCATCACTCGCCAACTCAGGATGGGTTGAGTGCATACGCTGCTCACAACCTTCGCAGCCAACGCCACCGCCTGTGGTGGACACAAAGCTTTGAATATGTTCTGAGAAAGTACACTCAAAGTTGTGTCTTTCCACCTTGTCCCACATGCCCTGGAGGACACTCCGTCCTGCTCGCGCGAGCCAATTTCGCACAGAAGCTCTGAGTGCTCCATATCGTCGCCGGGCAGCGTAGGCTATACATTCTGGCAAAGCCCAAATTTACCAGAAAGAACACCTTCCCCCGCTGCCCTGTGTTGGTCGTCAGGCCAGCGAGTCTTCGTTCCACGCTGCTTGGCCTTTTCCTTGTGCTGATTAAGGTGCCTTCTTGTAGGAGGAAGTGCTGCTCTTTTTGACATTGCCTGGTGGTACAAAGGTTTGAACTTGGGCGCATGCTCCCGCCTCGAAAGCGCAAGAAGCAGCCAGAGCAAAGCAACGGCGAGCACAGCGGCCTCCACGCCTTCGCCGCAGAAGGAGACGCGAAAGACAAAGAAGCGAGGGCAGCCGCGAGAAACGCTGTGGACTGAAATTCATCGCCCTGTCCTCAGGAAAGCATTTGCTGTTTCAAAGTGCTGGTTGATGTTCATCTGCAGACCTGTACGCGGCTTTCTGTTGTTATGATTGCTTATCAGTCTGCGTTCCCAGGTGACATCATTACTCCTAGACCTGGCATGGCCAGAGCCCCACGACACTTGACTGCAGTCACGCCTTGAAGATTCCGTGTAACAGTGCAGTTAGGCTGCAAGCAGTGATGTGCTCCTTTCAGGCATCTCAGAAGCGCAGTGCGACGGATCCAGCTCCGAGGCCTTGCTACGCTTGTCAGATGCCAAGTCGTAATTGTTCCCGAGCACTTGATTCCGCAGCTCTGGGACAGGAGACAGATTCGGGTTCCGAGGGCACCCAGGAAACCACCTCGGAACCAGCTGCTGAACCTGTGGAGCCACCCTGCCGTAGCATGGGACCCAGTCTGCTAGCAATTCGTGAAGAATGGCATGTGGCCAGCAGCTGAAGCGGATGCTTGCTTGCATGCTAGAAGTTGGCATAGGTCCTCTGAGATCCAGCCACTGCAGGCGGCGCTGCTTCGGACGATCTGCTCGTGACAGCCCGGCGACCGCTCAATGCAGACGCCCGCCAGGGGGGAGCCAATCACGTGAATCAAATCCAATCAGGGTTTCTGATCGTTCAGACCTTCAGCGTACGACTAGGAGTATAAAATGGAACGGCGGTTCAGGGAAGTGGAGCATGCCAAGAGGAAGAAGGGGCAGTTGAATGGCACTCCTACCAATGGCATGCCTTAAGATGCAAGCCCCGATCTCAGAGAGCTCAAGTCCACTTCTGTGCAGGTGTCGACCTACGAGCGGATGACAGCACTGGCAGACGAGGCGACCTGTGGCTGGGGCCATCGGTTTCGTGTTTCTTCGAACACACAAGCTACATACAGTGTCATAGCCTGCTTGCATTCACAGTGTTCTTTCAGAAAGAATGCGTTTATTGCGCGTTACCTACGTGGGGGGTGTTTCAGCAGCTTGAGATCCAGGCCGAGGGCTCGGCCCAGCGTATGGCCACAAGCCTGACGGAGACACTGGAGGAGGGCAGACAGCTTCTGGTCTTCTTGGGGCAGAAGCCGCGGCTTGGATGAAGGGATCTTGCCAGGCTCCGCCCATGGATAGCAGCTCGTGGTGGATATCCTAGGCCGGAGATCACCAGCAGTGAAACAGCGCCAGCAGAACTGGGTGGCAGTGTCCGTGGTGTTCCTCGCCATGAGTCTGCTTCTTTCCTTTTAGCAGGTAGTATGTGGGCTTATGGTGTCTTCCAGTTTGACTTGCAGATAGGCAGTATGGATTGCAGGTCAGCCACACCTTTACCCAGTATTGCGTGCGAGCACCCGACTGCAGCTTTCAATGAGAGTTCGAAGTACCTCCACAGCGATGCCTCACTTGGCTTTGTCTAGTCAAGAGTTGAAACGGCTCGGCTGCCGGCTCCAGTTTTCCAGGAGCTGCGGCCTGATCCCGACGTTGTCCGGGGGCATGCGTTTGGGGACTCCGTTGGAGGAAGAAGGAGATCAAGTCCAGGGAAGATTTTTTTTTCTGGCTTTTTGGCTTGGCTATAGGTCAAATGAACTGAGAAGCCAGATTCGAATGAGACGCTGGTGAAGATAAGCCCTGCATGATGATCAACCCGACGCAAGTGGCGTCATCTCTGGCTGAGGTGTTCGACACTGTCAGCAAGTTTGTTGGCCTTCTGGAAGGCTGGGTTGAGCTAGCTTGCTACATCTAGGTCTTGCAGCCAATGCTTGTTCAGAGGCGCTGTGGCAGATGTGGAAAAGTTTCAGAGAGGGACCGATGGACGCTCCAGACGCGCGTCTGCAAGCGACGGGTTTCAATTTTGAGCATGTGCTGTTTGATCCATCACATGCTATGCCGTGATGTAGTCGCCTCACGAGGTGCTGTTGCTTCATCGGTCTCGTCAGCCAACTATGGCTTCCATCGACGTCGAAAACGTGCTGCACCTCGTCACTCAAAACAGACGGTATTGTATGAACGCCTGTGGCCAGTTGTGCGTTCCTCTGTCTGGCCTCCGACAGGAGGTTTCTATCCGATCTCAAACACACGTGCAGCAGGTGACCGAGACCGAGCAGTGCAAGCAGTTAGCCCGTGACAGCATTCTTCGAGCAATAAGTCGGGCTTGGGACTCAGTCTTCAACGCTGCATAAGGATTAAGGCATCTTGGCATGACGAAGTCATGGTTGCTTCTTAGGCGTGCAAAGTGGACATGCCCGTGAAAGCCGCAGCAAAGCGCAGCCTGGCACAAACATTGATGAACACAGGATGGATGAACAAAGACATCTTGTTTGCACGTCCATTTGCCAGCCTGTCAACTGAGGCGTGGCAAGACGAGTCACAGTACCATCCTTACTAGCCTCATCATCCTCACCACCACGGCATGAGGTGAAGAAGGCTGCTACTACAAGCTTCGCATTCGACGAGCTTGACTGAAACGGGGCCAACCCCTTTGGTCCTGCCATGTCCCATTCTTTTAAGCCTGCTTTTCAATTGCATGGTCTGTGCGAAGGTCTGCGGACAGCACATTTGGTAGCAGCGAAAGAAATCATGCAGGTTTGAAGACCTCCGCAATGTGAATTCAGTGGCATCGGCTGTTGGGTCGGCCACTGCTTACCTGGACAGATTGAACTGCGGCTTGTGCAAGCTTAGCAGCTAAACGCGCCAAGATGGGCTAATCAAATCTAATGCAAGCAGCGGAAGGCAGTCCCGGGCACAGGGCGCGTGCGCAAAGCCAGGCAACTTTACCGCTTGAGCTTTGGATCAGATGTGCTTAGCTTCCTTTGGAGTCCCAGCTCCAGGCACCTCTGACTTTGCTGATTATCCAGTTCTTGGCTAAGCAGCCAACTGGCAAGAGATCCATTTGAGAGCCATTTCGCGCACTTGTGAATGAGCGCGTTCTTGGAAACCATGGCTTGGGCATGTCCTTTGGCTTGTGAACGGTTTGCACAATAAGATGATGGAGGGGGCATGAGAGGGACGTGTAAGAGCATGACTGAATGACTGCTTGATTGGAAGGTTTTCTTGACAAGGCAGGACAACATCTTGTAGCATGTTTTTAAATCCAGACTTGCACACTCTGCTGGGATGTTGGATGTGGATGATGCTGCATTAGACGGCGAAGGAAGTGAAGGAAGATGCGCTGAGGCTTTGTTTTGTAGTTGCTTCGCTGGGCCAAGCAGGTGGGACACTGCGTGAGAAACTGTTGGGGAAGATTGCAAAAGGCAGCAGGTTGTAAGTGGCTGAGCCAGACGGAGGAAGACACGAGATACTGCAGGCAGGTTGGGAAACTAACGAGTCCAAGACATTGGTACGAGCCCCCATGCAGAAAGTCACAGCCGTCCAATCAGATAACAAAGTTGTCCATCGCAGTCTAGATGTCGACTGCCTGCTTACCTGACAGTCCACCTTTTCATCCGACTACATGTTTTCCATCTTGCGTGCCGCAGCCTTTCAGTTGCAGGCTCACAGCCATTTGCTGCGCACATAGCTAAAATGCATGGCGTGGTGAAGTCTGGCATCCGATCTCAGGTTGGCGCACGCCCGGGTCCCCGGCAGAATCGCAATTCACTAATACGTCCCCGTGGTATGATAATGCGTGATACGGCCTTTTGTGACAGCATATACTCATGTTGGAGATAGGATTGGCCTGGAAGTACACACAACCAGGGTTGCCCGAACAGTAATAGGGTTGAAGCTTGCGTGGGTCAACACTCCTGTTGAGGCCCCAGGTTCAACAGTGAACAACGAACGACTTAGCAAACCTTTCAAAGACGAGATACACTTGTAATGATGTGCTTGGCGACCTAGGATGGCGGATGATTTGTCGGCAGGCCAGACCGTCATTCTGTCAGGTTGCAGGGAGGCTTTCATAAAGAGTCTTGTTGGCTTGTAACTACTGTCCAAGCCTAGATGTCAGGCAACATGCTTCATGCCAGCATTTCGACAATCGAAGCGACACTTTGACAGAATGCAAACTAGCAGATGTGAGTTTTACCTTGATGACGGCCAGTACATTATGGTGGCATCCTGTCCAGTTGGTTCATCACAAATTTTTCGCAGGCATTCTCCCGGAGGTGTCGGAGGCAAGAAATGCATTCTGCAGGGGCTGTCTTGTTCTGAAGCTTTGGAACTAGCTAGCTCTGATCCCAGGATGCAAGTTGCAAGCCGCACACTTCTGTTTGATGAACCTTCTCCTCTTCTTGAAGAAGAACTAGTACTGCTGTTGGTGAGCCTGTTGTCACTGCACTGGGTCAGAAGTTGGGTTGCTAAGCCAAGGGATGCCGCAGAAGAATGGGAAGGATCTAAGAACACTCTGAGTTGAAGTAGCGCCAGCCTATGACAGTTGTTCTTCAGGAGGTTAACAGAGAGGCCAAAGCAGGATTCCGGCAGGAAGGACACAAAGCCGCAGCTGTTGAACCACACACTGCCGTGGAAGGAATTTGCCCCGATCCTGGTCCTAGGCCGGCTAGTCGGGTTTCCAGCACTGGGGACCCTTGGAGCAGAAGAATCACGTAGGCTGCTCACCATTTGGCAGACTTTTGCTGTGTGTGGGGTGGTGCTGGAGGTTTCTCAAGCTCAATCAAGTCTTGCCACTCTCACATGACCACCGTGGACACAACAAAGAGCTAAAGTAACAAATCTTGCAGTAGCCCTGGAGCTCAATGCGTGCATGACGAACGATTCCGCAAAGTGAGTGCAGCTGGGACCGCCAGGGACTCCAGAGCGCAGCATCAAAGGATATGAGCTAGTGTTTGCTATGCCAAGCCAGGCATATGGGAGGAAGGTGCGGCAGAGGCTGGATGGGATCATGCGATGGACATGTGCTAGTTGTCCTGGTATACAAGTGCGAGCTAATGTTCGGGAGTGCCAGAGATGAAGACGGTGATGGGGATAATTTCTGCCTTGTACTGAATTGTGAGATTCGCTTGACCACTTCTTCTTTCCAACCAAGGTCAGTTCTTTCAATCTCACGCTTTATGCTTTGATGTTGTGAAGGCCAGCCCAAGATGGGCCGGACGAAGCTGTGCCACGGCGAAGAGTTGAGCTTCAGTCGGTTCTTTAAGTGCCGAATGCCTGCGAGTTCTGAGCCTGCAAGCTGTTGAGGTGCCTGCCGGATGGGTGCTGCTTTCGCAGCCTTCATAGCAATGGTAGCAGCCACCACCATGTTGCAAGCTCAGACCAGCATCAAACTGGTGTGCAAGGTCGTTCGCATGATTATATCAGGGTTGCTATTGGAGCCAAGGTTTAGTCACAATCACGCAGCCAGAGCCTGAGATCTCCGCACAAGGGATTTCCTCTGTTCATTGAAGTGCTGACATCACTACGACCAAGCAAGTCTGCATCAGCAATCGCCGGAATGGGAAGGAACTGGCTACAAAGCTGGCCACCTCCGCAGACGACGTGCTGGGCCTGTCCTCAGTGAAAGACGGTGCGGAGTTCAATACCCTCCCAGACAAAAAGGAGGCACCTAGAACCAGACTTGGGTCGCAGGCTTTCATGCTGTTTGGGAATGCAGCGGCGGCTTGTATTCCAAGTAGAGGTTGTAACAGGAGACCTGCAGTCTTCACAGGTGCCAAGGTGTTCGATTCATAGACAAGCCCACCTGCCCTCAATGCACTACCTTCTCATGATTTTTGACTTCTGTCCTTTCAGCAGTGATGCTGGGTCCTATTCTAGTTTGCTCCGATCTTCTCAAACTTAGTCGGAAAACTTCCATTTGTGGCGGAGTCGTCTTTTTCTTGTGCAAGACGTGCTCCAGGAGGAGCCTCCTCCGGAACGAAACCTCGGCTTCAACGAGCTCCGGATACCCACAGTGGTTGAGGCAGGGATGTGTTGCCTGCGTGAGTCGGTTCTTTAGGATAGCTTCGGCAAATTGCTGCTGCACGCGACTCCTGATGTTGCTTTTGCTTCATCTGCTGGAGCTCGTCCATCTGCTGAAACGAAGCTGAGCGTTGGTTTATTTCAAGTTTGTGTGTTGTTGCTGGCAGGCGAAGAAAGCGATCTTTGATCCGGCCATCTGTGTGGGGAATACGCTGCAGGCTGCCATCACTCTGGTCGGCCTCAGCTTCAAGGCACGTGGCAAAGCTTGCCGCATGTTGCCGCCTTCACAGTCCGCATAAGGGTCTGTACATGTGGCTATGCCTAGGGGCCTTCATTCTGGCAGGCGAACCTACTGAAAACGGGCCAATCTCCTGAGCTGTGAGGTCAGTGCTGCCCTGCGAGAATGCAACGCTTGGTTTTATAGGCCTCCAGGGCTGCTGAAAGTGAAGCAGACACTTCGGTACCGCACACGTGTACATGTGACGCAGCCACATCATTAAAGATGGCCAAAGCTCCCTCAGGCATTCAGATGTACGTGACGCATTCCGCACCAACTTTGCAAGCAATGGGTCAAAGATTGCCGTGAAGTTTGTGAGAGGAAGCATCACACAATTGTGGCTGACCCTGGGGGCTGCTGAGTGGGGAATGCAAGAAAAGTACAAACAGCAGTTGTCATCATCATAAGCAGCATACTTGTAGCCGTAATGTTTCCATTGTTTCAGTCCTGTCGTGCAGGCCACCTTGGGCAGACCGGTTAGACCGCAAAACGGGCAAAGTCGTTCCCGTCACAAACGGCCGGGGTCTCAAGGTTATGCAGGCAGGTGGTCTCTTGGGTCTCTGCTCTGTGCTTGTCGCCAGACAACTAAGCTGCCTCGTTTCCAGTGGTTGTTGTTGGTGCTACACAACAAGAATGTGGTATGGAGAAATGTGCCTGCAGAAAGCGCCGGGTAGTAGAGCCCGACGGTAATACCAAAAATAGTAGCTACTGTACTACTACTACTACTATTATTATTATTATTACTACTATTACTTCCATTATTAGTCCCACCACTACTCTTCTACTTCTCCATTTATTACTGCTACTGCCACTGCCACTGCTACTGCGTCGAGTGCGATTGAAAGGGACAGCAGTCATCACAATGTGCTGCATTTCCTGTTTGGGGCTGACTGCCTGACACAGCTGCGCGCACCCAATAACTTCGTGCCACGACAAGGTTTTCTGTTATCAGGAGACCAAATGCGCCTTTCCGTCCCCAGCAAGACTTCTGATATTAAGCCTGTTGATCAGTTTGGAAGGCGTGCCAGTCATCACCAATGGCCGGCGTCTCAAGGACGCATGTCGCATGTTAGGGGACCGCGCGCCAATCACCAAGCCTCAGACATCCAACACGACAAACCTTTTTCAATCTGTGAGGACAGGCGGCATCCGCTGTTGCGCATGGAGGCAATGTACAGCTTCTGCATTCAGTGAGCGATGGGCTTTTGTGGAAATCATGCGTTCAAGCTGTAAACTGAAGTGACCCCCCAACTAACGAGATCAGCCATTTTTGTGTTGGAATGCAAATTTGTTGAACCACGAGCTTCAAGGCCCGGCTCAAGTGCTGTAAGCCGAG